GGAACCCAATAGTTCAGCCTTGAACGACAATACATAGATACTTTACTATTGGGATATACATGGCAGCCCCATGTAAAGCGCATAACAGTAGTCCAACTGGGTGGTAAGTTTTATTTGCTCCTTTTCTTGCTTGTCCTTCATATAGTGCAGTTTAACATATTCGTGTTCCACACTGGGCCTGGATTGCTTTGTGTCTGCAGTTCTTATACATCCCATCTTATCCTCAAATAACATGGTTGGAATTGGTTCTTTTATTTTGAAGTATAATATTTTGTGCAGCCACACAAGTTCCCTGAATACTTGTTGCACAACACAGTATTCAGCCTCTGTAGATGATAGGGCTATTATGCTTTGCTTCTTGCTATACCATGCAATGAGCAGGCTCCCATAAAAGAATATAGATCATGTAGCTGATGTCAGATTTATCTCCATCCCAATCTGAATGTGTACATCCAATATGTTTTGGATGATTAGTTACAGGCATTTTTAAATTGAAGTTCATAGTTCCTTTTAAATATCTATCTAACATTTTTATGGTTGCCCAGTCTTGTGTTGACTTACTGTCAGCTCTTTGAGATAGGCCAGGTCAGGAAACAGACTCCATAAGGACTACTGGAACTATTCTTTATTGTTGCAGGTTATAACAACAGAATCTTGAAAGCCTGGCAGAATTTCTCTCTCTTCCCTCTTATACCAAAGACAATCAAAGTGTACAAAATGGCAGCAGAACAGAGATGAAAAGTAGGATACCAGGTGATCCCTCCTCTATTGCACCATGAAAGAAACAACTTGGTGGATGGGGATGACGTATCCAATAGTAGTGAAGGTGTGAGATACTATAGCCAGGTTCTCCTGTACTAGGTAGGATTGCGACTGACATAGCAGCCAAAGTAGCTAAGGCAAAGGCCCCTCTAGCCACAGCCTCCACCTGCTGTTCCAGGAGGAACTATGAGTCCAGAAGGACCCCCAAATCATGAACCTGTTCCTTCATTGATAATGCGTGCCCATCCAGAGGTAAATTTGGCATTGACAGAGAACCCTGATGTATAAGCAGCAACTCTATCTTACCTGGTTTCGGCTTCAGTCTGTTATTTCCCCTCCGGACCTTTATAGTCTCCAGGCAATGGGATAGGATGTCAACAGATCTCCTTTATGGTCCAGCGTGGTGATCTAAAGTTGGGTATCATCAACATACTGATGATACTGTACCCCAACCTGTCAGATGACCTCACCCAGGAGCTTCATATAGACGTTAAAGAGCAAGGGAGAGAGAACCAACCCTTATGACACCCCACATATCAGAGGCCACTAGGCCAACCTCTCACTCCCCACCATAATGGAATGAAACCACCCATTGGCAATCCAGTAAGATACCATGGTTGATGATATCAAAAACTGCTGAGAAGTTCAAAAAAAAAAAAAAAGGAAGGAAGGAAGGAAGGAAGGAAGGGCTACATTCAGTCAGATTCCAACACAAGTCATCAAAGAGCAACCAATACTCTGTCTTACATCTGGAATTGAACCCTGATTGAAAAGTGTCCAAATAATTTGCTTCTTCTGGGATGCTGAGAATTTGGGTCTATAAAGGCGAGGTTGGAGACCAGATGATAGTAATCCAAAAGCTCTGGATCCAGAGATGGCCTCTTCAGAAGGGGCACATCATAGCCTCCCTTCTGCAAGATCCAGGTGGTTATTTCTCTGCCCACCACCTGCAGCAGCCAGAATAGGCAGGGGTCCAAAAAGCAGGTGGCAGACAACAACCTAGACAGCGCCATGTCCACCTCCTTAGACATCAGGTCACAGATCATAAGTCCCAGATGGCATTGCAAGGAGGGCCCTAACACCTTTAAGGCCTCTGCCCATGCAGAGCCAAGACATCAGCAAATCTGAGATATTTTATTGGTGGAATGCTGTGCAAATTGGTCACAGTGGCTAGGTAGGAGATCTTTATACTGACTCCTCCCCAAAAAGAACTTGGTCACTTTAAATAAGGATACTGATGCAATAAGGAGGAAGAAGTAGGTACTCTTATTGCCATGGTATAGGCCCAAACATGGGGATGCACCCATGCTTGGTCAGATTAACTTCCCATCTTCCTTCACTGGTACGCCAGGAGTAATTTTTGGTGCTTCATTTCCTACAGAGTCTTAGAAAAGGTATCAGCCAGGACTGGCCACCAAGAAGCACCCAGTGCGCTTCCTATTGCCAGTTACGTATCAGGCACTGTGAAGGAACTATGAGCAATTTTCATAATTCCATCACACTGGCCTTCATCTAGACTCCAGTATTAGGGCCAATCACAAGGGTTGCAGTGGCAACTTATGGACTCTTTCTGGAATCCAGAACAAAAGACAGGGTATGTGGAGAAATGAGGGTTACTGCCTGCTTGCTCAACTCATGTTCCTCCTGGTTGGGACTGGCCCCATAGTTAACTTTGATTCTGTGATGTATTCCTGACTAATTAAATGAAACAATTACAAGACCTTTACTAAAGAAATAAATCCTTTCTGGACCCAGAAGATCTTTCTAATTATAGGACAGGTTCAAATATTCCATTCTTGGATAAGGCAGTTGTGAAGGTGGTTGCTCAACAGCTCCAGATGCATTTGGCTGAAACTGATATTCACCTGGGGTTCCAGAATATGGTAGTGAGACTGCTTTAGTCACCTTGGTAGGTGACCTATGCCAGAAACTAGATGCAAGAAGTGTGATTCTGCTGGTTCTTTTGGACCTCCAAATGGCTTTTGATACTAATAACGAAAGTATCTTTTGGGGCCATCTAGTAGGGGAAAGGGCTTTGGGGATACTATTTTGTAGTGGCTCCAATCCTTCCATTCAAGATATGCTCAGAAAGTGATGCAGGGGAACTATTGTTTCACATCTAGGACATTAACCTATAATGTTCCACAGTGTCCTGTCTTGCTACCTGTGGTATTTAACGTTTATCATATTTTATATTAACACAACCAAAAAGCACTGGAAGAAATCATTAGAAGCTTGGGGACAGGGGGGCATCAGTATGCAGATGACCCACAGCTCTACTGCTTTTTACCATCTAATTCCAAGGAAGCATTAGTTCTTTTGAATGTTGCCTAATCTGGGTTACAGGCTAGATGTGGCCAAACAAACTGTAATTAAATCCAGGCCATGGAGGTGCTACTGGAAAGGAGAAAACTGGACAGATGTAGCAAACTGGGGATGGGACTGTACTCCCAGAAAGACCAGGTTCACAGTTCGGAAATGCTTCTTGACAGCCATCACTGGATTTGCAGCTAATGGTTATGCTAAGGAACATTTCCTCTCCAATAGCCTCTTGCCTCTCTATAGACTCATCTAATTATTTCTTGATTCTTTTTTTCCTAGCTCAATATTAACAATGTACAAAACAGAACATTCTTGGGAACAAAACTCAGTATGTTCCTTTTGTGCCAGAGTCCCCCCTCCCTCCCCAAAAAACCTGGAACATCAAAATAAATCACTTTTCTGCATCCTTATTCAATATACATGATCTTAAGACTCAGAAACATGAAAACCAATCATTTGTGCTAATATTCTGCCTGCAAGGGACCCTCTACTAAACTCACAAATGTGATGACTATATTCTCAACATCTGGAACTAAACTATATATAATCCACGGATTGGATGGTTGCATTTTAAGCCATTCTAGCTAATACCTATTGGTACATCTCCTTCATGATTTTGATTTTACAATCATTTGAAATACAGAGGGAAGTACTGAGTGGAATAACTAGGCACTCAAGATTCTTCTCAATAACTTGGATGAAGAAGTTGGGACATTTGGAAAGTCAGCAGATGACACAAAACTGGGAGGAAATTATTTTCAGAAAACTCATCAGGGTTCAGCAGTGAGCTGACATGAGTAGAATGGAATTTAACAGGGAGAAGTGTGAATCGGAGTAGGAAAAATGTACCGCATTAATGTAGGATGGAGAGGAGACCTGGCCTGGCAGTAATACATGTGAAAGGGATCTGGGTGCCTTTGTCAACCAAGTTAAACATGAGCCAGCAATACAATCCAGATCACAGGAAATCATCATTCCACTTTACTCTGTCCTGGTGAGCACTTTGTCCAGTTCTGGGCACCACAATTTAAAAAGGACAATAATAAATTGAAGCCAGTTCAGAGGATGGTTACTGGTCTGGAAACCAGACGCTGTGATGAACAGTTAAGGAATCTGGGTAAGTTTATCTTACAGAAAAATAACTAAGATATGATAGCAGTCTGAATATCTGAAGGGCTGTTACACAGATGAAGAGAGTGGCTATACCCTGTACTCCAAGGGCAGAATTAAGGGAATAAAACTTACAAGAAAGCAAGTTCTGTTTAGACATCAGGAGGAATTTCCTGACTGAATGAGCTGTCAGCTAGGGAAACAGGCTGCCACCTGAAGTGCTAGTTCTTCTTTGCTAGAAGTCTTCAAACAGATACTGGATGGTCATCTGTCATAGGCACTGTAGTGGATTCTGCATTGATCAGGGGGTTGAAGTAAACAACCTCGGAGGTCTCTCCCAACTATCTGATGTTATGAATCTATAGCAGCGAAGTTCTCCCTTTTGCTTTCTCAAAGCACCTTTATAACCCAGTTTAATAGATTCAGCCAAATTCCTGTACTCCAAGACTGTAATGGTACGTGGGAATGACCTTGGGAAACAGGAGGAAGAGCCACAGACTAGACAACTGTCATGCAAAAGATATCTCAGCCCACAGAAGCAGAGGGGATGTGGGAAGTGTTTCAGAAGGGACCCTTCCTAGTTTTCTGGACAGTAAAAGGAAAGGAGGGGAGAAATACTGTCAGACTTGCAAGATTCTGTTAATGTAACCTTACAATAAAGATAGAGCTAGTATTCATTGTTGTGCTTCTTGTCTAGACTACCTTAAAGGGCTAACAAAGACAGGCCAAGTAAATTCCTTCTCTTGAAGCCACACTTATAACAATGTTTTCCTTGACTATAAGGTCAAAAAGTATGCACACCTACCTCAAGTAAAGGCAAGCAGGGCTGCAGGGATCATGTCAGGTGGGATCATGCCTTGCTGGTAGAGGTACCATCCTGCAGCAGATGCCATGCCAACGATGCACATAGTCCCCAGAATACCTCTGATGATGATGACAGTCCAGGAAGAACCTGCAACGGGTAGGGGATCCTTAGAGACCTCGTCCGGCAAACCTGCACAGGAATTCTCTGGTTAACTGAATTGAGCTGATGGTTCTAATTTCACAACATTTAAAGGAATGGGTATAGGAGGGTTAAGTCCCAATTGGGAGGTGGGGTAGGGCTGAATGGCAAAAGAGGCAGGTCACTGACATGATGCTAGGAATGTCTGTGGTCCCCAGGACCATCCCAGATCACATCACTCATATTTTCTGGCAAACCACTGAAAATTATGTATGGTCTAAAAACAGCAATAAGCAGAATGCATGAGTTAAGCTGCTGATAGATATCTTAAGTCAAGGAGACAAAAATACAAGCTCCTCTGCCCCTTCTAGGGGCATCATGGTCTTACTGTACTATCTCTTGAAGCAATTGGAGACCAAAAATAAAAGCATGCCCACACCCACCAAGAAAAAAAGTATAGAGTCTCCCACCTCTGCTCAGGACTTCCGAAGCACGACAGGCTGCCTTCATGATGGCCAAGTTGCCCCGGGGAAAACCTGGGACATAGACCTCTGCTTCTACCTCCACTTCTTCCAATTCCATCGGCCCTGCATGGTCCTGAACCCCCTTGGTAGCTGGTTGTTTGCCCCGTTTCTGTGATGTGACCTTTGGGAAGATGCCCCGCAACAGCTGGAGCAGGTGGACACGGGCTTCCTCGGCCTCCCCTTTCTTGGGTTCCATAATGATTCCCACTAAGGCGCAGGGGGATTTCTGGACATACTTCTTCACCTCCTTCAAAACTTTCCGCAGTTCAGCCTCCTTGCCCTTCAGACAGGAGGCACGGCATAGAAAGAAGATGAGCTGGCATTGCTTGCCACCAATAGGGCAGGAGGTGCTACAAGGCTCCTTCAAAGCTTCTGCAGGGTGGACTGAGTGACAGGGAGCAGAAAACAAGTCCTTGACAAAAGAGGCCATCATCTTATGAATGTCCTTGCCCTCCAGGGTCTCCCCGATGAGAAGAACCTCAGGTCTCCCCCCCACCTTCTGCACCAGGATTTGGAAATCCTGTAAAATCTTTTCTCCAGGGCCTGGGATGCATAGTGGTGCAGGAAGCTGCTCCGAGCCCTGCCCCTCCTTGGTCATGTCCTGCTATCATGGAGTCCCTGTCCAGCTGCCCCTGACTAAACTTTAAAGGCCTCTGGGCAAAACCCCACCTGATGTCACAATATACAAGCTCAGCTTGTATACAAATACAACCTGGGGCACCCTGTCACACAGGTCACTGATAGCACGGCTCATTATCTAGCATGGGATTGAAGACAAATCATTATCTAGCTAGTGGACCACATATGGACCCTTTCTGGATAGAGCATCACAGTTAGGACCAGTTATTACCATCAAGCCTGAGATGGGCTGCAGCCATGTCAATCTGACATAGCAAACCCGAAAGTCTTGCTGTCATGAACCACTTTGTCAGAGCCATGGACTTTTAAATAATGTCTAAATGGATCTAAAGAAGAGGGAAAAGAAAGTGTAAAGCCAAGTGATCACAGAAGGCAAGAGGCCAAAACTTCGATAATTCTATGTAAGGATGAGCACAATCAACAAGAACTGTGGTAACACAGTTACTATAAGAAAGCTATAAAGATTAACATCTGGGAGAGAAATCCATGCAGCCAATTTATTTATTTTACTTTGATAAAGATTTTAATCCTACTTTTGCTATCTTTAAGGAAACAGAATCAAACTTGCTGATGAATTCTAGTCAAAGTCATGTTGCAGTTTCTTTCTGAAGTTCCTTTCTTGAAGGATCAATCAGCGAAATCAAATGGTAAAGCATTGCCAGAATGGCAACACGTGACACAGCAAATAGGATTGTGCATGTTCTTTGTTCATTACTGTGTAAAACTCTGCACACCAAAAATTAGCATGTCGGGGAGAAGGGATAATTCATATTAGTCTTCTCTCTAACGTACCTGTTTTCTATAGAGAACTTTCACCCCGTATGGGGCCATATGCAAAGACTCTCACTAGCAGTCTAAAGTAGTATTTTCAGTTCTCCAGAAAAATGGTTTACCACTGGATTCCAAATAACTACATTTGTGCATTACTCACATTTATGGCAACCACAAGAAACATAGCAGAGCCCTGAGACTTTTCTCTCTGTTTTGACCTCTGAACAGAGATGTTTGCAAAGGAATAAAATACACGAGCAGCTTCTGATTTTATAGCTTCACCCAATCAGGATGTCCATACCAGCTGGGTTAGCCAATTATTCAGAGTCTTTGAGCAACTATGTCCGGGTTTCCCACAAATATCTGGAACCAATGCATGGATGTGAGAGCCCTTCCTTCCCAGACAGTCTCTTCCATCATTTGCAGGGGAATAATATTCCCTTTAGGTATGAGCAGTTTATATAAAAAGTGCAAGGAAAAAGTAAGCAAAAGAAATTGGAGGCAGAAGGTAGGAGAAAAGTAAAGGAAATCTAGTTTACAGTACAGTGACAGCATTCATTGTATATCTCCATACCTTCCTCTGCTTGTAAACTCATCCTTGCCTTTTCTTCTTTAAACGTCTTCCTTCTCCTTCTAATTTATTAGTAATAATAATACGTATTTATTTCTATACTATTTTTCCTCCTAGAGGAGCTCAGAGTGTTTTACAAGGGAGTAAAAAGTCTTAAAACCATCACAATAAAATCCGTCATGCTTACATCAATATGCACACAATTTAAAGCTCCTTTTGGTAAAAAATGAACAGATTAAACAGTTGATCTGGTCACTTTTTTGTTGTTGTTTAAACAATTAGGGCAGACCTCTAGTATGAGTCCTAAGCACTATAATCTAATCCCCAAATGACAGATAGCAGTCAGCCAGAAAATATTTTTAGAAATGTATAGATTAAGAAGGTTCATCAGTGACCAGTTGATCTTGAACCCAAGACTTCCTAGTTTCCAGCAGGTAGAATATTTTGGCAGGGCATGATCAGCACCCTCCCAAGTGTTGCTGAGTCCCCTTACTAGCCGGGTCATACCTGCCTTCTGTGAGCTTCCCAGAAAACTTCTCTCCTACTGCCTGTTTTGGAGAAACCCAGGAATTTCACCAAATCATGGAGGTACATCATTTCCATACAGAATTTAGTCAATGAGGTGTTCAGACAGCTGCTATCACTGACATCAAGCTCTTGACATTGCTAGCATATTCTAGCATATGAGAAGGTTAGCAAACATCTAGCAAACAGACAGCTGGCCTTCAAATTGTTATTGGAGGACCTTAAATTTTATTCTAATTTTTATAGGCATACCATACAGCAACAATAAGCAACCTAATGCCCTCCATATATATATTTTTCTTTCTTTTTTTTGCGCCTTCAAGTCAGCGTTGACTCCTGGCTACTGCCCAGCCTAGTTCCTGCAAGATTTCAGATGTGGTCCAGATAGATCTACAACACCTATGATCTCTTGCCAATATCTTGCCCATGGTGGCTGGGACTGATGGGGGAATTGAAATTTGAAGAGTGCTAGGTTGCTCATCCTACAGCAATGCATTTCAGATTGTATCTGACATCATGCAGTCAGCAGAACCTCCATGTTCCCAGTCCATAAAATTGTGGATTTTAGGTGCATTATATCTGGGACAAATCCCACTGAATATAGCAGGGTTTTTAACTAACTAAATAGAAAGTATTATATTACTATGCTACAGGGGACGGGGGAAAGAAAATTGGTTAAAGATTCAAACTTGTCAGAAACAGATACTAAGTGCCTTGTTCAAACTGAGTTCGGTAGACCCAAGGAAGCCCCTCTTGCTTCTTCTACGTTCTCCATGGAGTCCTTTCTCGCCCTTAACGGTGACAAAGGTGCAGGACCGCGGCCACCGGCTGCATCTACCACAGGGCTTGCGGGCCATGCAGCCGGAGAGCGAAGGGGAAGAGCGACCCTCCTTCCAAAGCGCCCCGGAGGGAGGCGCGCTCGCATCGGGGGCGCTCTGGGCACAAAAGCCAGCTCGCCAAGCCTGGCTTTTCCCGGGAAAGACGCGGGGTCACACGCCAAGAACCCACGCTGCCCCTTACGCTGAGAAAGGGCCGGCGGACGATTGTGACACCCGCGGAAGACGCAGGAGGAGCGAGGGGGGTGGCGCGCGCGGAGAGAGGCCGGCGCGGGGAGCGGCTGGAGGCAGG